AGGGGTTAGGAGTTAGGGTTTCCTCGCCGGTGCCCCAATACACTTACATCCTAAGCAATGCAACATTGGCAAAGCAAGAACAACCCGCAAAAGGTAAGGACATGCCCCCAAATTAGCTTGCGCTTAGGCGGCGCTCAATTCAAGTTTTGACAACAAGGAATGCTGGCATCGATGCGCGAGCAACTGGGGGCAGCGGACTTTCATGGCTTGACGGGCTGCCGGCGAAGATGCATCGATGAGCTGGAATCGATACAGGTTGTGAGAGATTGTCAACGATCCGTAACGATCCAGTGCACTGTAAAGTCATAGCTCGTGCAAAAACCAGTCATCGTGGGTTGTGGCACCCAGTGGAAAAACAACTAAAGGCCACGAACAGTACAGGCAGTTATATGTCCTAGCGTCGTTCCGGCCGTCCTCCGAAACGACGTCTTCGAAAAACATGACGAGCGGATGTGCTTGCAAGGCTGGGGGGAGTTCTGTTCATTGTCTGCGTATGCCCCAATTGCGTCAATGCTTGCGCTGCTCATTGTTTTAACTCGTGCATCTGGTTCGGGCAGTGCAACGGAAACGAATAGATGACGGGACAGCAGCAGGGTTCAAGGTTTTAGGTGCCCCTTATGGTCCAATGCTGTCTCAAGCTGGTTTTAAACGGCATTGAAGTTTTTGGCTGTGTGTTTGGGGCCCCTTGTTCTGTAACCCTCACATTAACTACAAATATAAAGAGCCCATACTTCGGATCCCGACAAGCAAGGGTAACAGACTATACAAAGGGCCCATGGATCCAGCCTTAAGCCCCTACAAATCGCAGCAGGCCTTTCTAGGGTAGGTGTTTAGGGTTTAGGGGTTTATCCACCGACCGGCGCGGGGCGTGCGGTGCCCGTCAAGGCTTTTCCCTAACTGGGGCTTAGGGTTTAGGGTTTGGGGTTTAGGGTTTAGGGATAGGGTTTGGGCTTTAGGGTTTGGGGTTTAGGGTTTGGGGTTTAGGGTTTGGGGTCAAACCCCGACCCCGAAGCCTGCATGCCCATTCAGCCCGAAGGCCCAGTCGCGAAACCTCAAATCCAACCCGTGTGAGGGCTTAGGGTCCAAACCCTAAACCCTAAACCCTAAACCCTAAACCCTAAACCCTGAACCTAAACCCTAAACTCTAATGGGTGGTGAGAGGGCATCTGACTTGCAGGGTGGGCTCTTTCCGGAGTGACGGGGCTTAGGGTTTAGGGTCGGCTAGACCGAGGTGGTCCAAGAAGCGAATACTAACCCGGGAGCCCTTTTGTGCTTGAAGCGGTTCAGCAGCGACCCTCGAGTGGAATAAGGGCACTGCGAGGCATCCGAGAACGTTCTACCCTGGGGCACCTCACTTGCTGATCGTGGTAGCCCAGGAACCATCTTAGAATACGGGCACCCTTTTTCCGTTGGTTGCTTTGTAATGGGATCCATAACCAAATAAAAGGGCAACGGGCACCACTGGGCTAGCAAGTTTCAGTACCCTAACCCTTACACCCCGAGGACGGGCAAAGCATAAGCTTCTAGAGACACTCCAAACCCTAAACCCCAAACCCTCAACCTGTAACTCCAGTTTGAAGCAACCCCCCAGCCCGAAACCCCCCCACAACCCCAAACCCTGTACCCCAACCCCTAAACCTAAACCCCAAACCCTACACCCCGAAACCCTTAACAACCCTAAGCCGAACCCTGAACCCCTAAAACCCCTAAACCCTAAACCCCGAATCCCAACTCTCAAACCCTAAACCCCAGAGCTGAGGAGAGTCCAACAGAGCGCGCAGCCTGCGATGAAAACTCGCCCAGCCGCGGTGGGGCGCAGTCCTCGAGCTGCTGAGGGTTCAGGGTTCGGGGCTCAGGGTCCAGGTTCCCTGAACCCTAAACCCTAAACCCTAAACCCTAAACCCCAAACCCCAATCCCGAAACCCTGAACACTAAGCTCAAAACCCTAAACCTTTAGGGTTTAGTGGCATTTGGAGTTGGCTTGGCAGGCATCCGGAGCTTAAGGTTTAGGGCTTCGGGTGTAAGGTGGGCCTTGGTACGGGGTTTAGGGTTTAAGGTGTGGGTTGAAGGTTCGGGGTCTAGGGTTTACTTGAAGGTTCATGGTCAGATGTAGTGGGGCTAGGACCCTAGATTGACCGCTACGTAAGGTTTAGGATTCAAAGCGTCCCAAACACGATCTGGCACTGTGAGATCGTGCCCCGGTTCTTCCCTGCAACTCTAAGCTCGAGACGAAACCTTAGCGAGCATGAGTTCGCACAGCACGCAAGCTTCCCCGAATTCTGTTTCTGACCTTGACTACCCTCAAACCGCAGCTTCGCCCCTAATTACGCTAAAACTCGGAGCAACCCAGGCCAAGACCGCTGTGACCTTGCATGAGGCCTACCCTAAAACCCTCAAACCCTAAGACCCTACAAACTTAAAACCCTAAACTCTAAACCCGAAACCCCAAGCAATCCACGCTTCCGCCTGCAAGCTGGACACCCCAAGCTACATGCGATATGCACGTACGTAAATTTATGTGTATGTGAATATATATATATATATATATATGTATACATATGTATATAGACATATATATATATAATTAAAAAAATAGCTAGGAGACAAATATTCCTCTGTCCGGGTTGAGGGGCTTCGTTCACGCAAAGTCCTTACTGGGACACAGATTTTGATGACCCCATGATTTTGCACATTTTGGGGCCAGGGCGTGCTAAGAGGGGTGTGGTCGGGTACGCTCCGGGTGTGGCTGCAGAGCGACGGCCTCGGGTTAAGGGTTTATATAGGGTTTCAGGTTTAGGGTTTAGGGTTTTAAGGTATAGACGGTATAGGGTTCAGCATCTCAAGTCCAAGTATTCACTGGTCAAGCAGCTCGTCAAGCAGCTTGTCAAGCGTTTCAACATGCCCAGCCGACCGAAGAATCCCATAACATGAAGAAAAGATAACTTCACCCAATCCATAAACCCTGGGGTGCGCAACAACATCTCCTTTTTCTCGGCAGATACTGGCAGATACTACTTAGACTTATTTATCCTCCCTAGACCGACTGACCGAACATTGAACAACACCTGTGCCGATATTGACCGAACTTGAACAAACTGGTGCCGATTGACCGGGAAAAAGCACCGGTGCCGATTGACCGAAACTTGAAAAAAAACACTTGTGCCGATTGACCGAAATTTGAAAGCACACCGGTGGCTGATTGACCGAGATTTGAAAAACACCAGGGGGGCAGATTGACCGAAAATGGAGAAACATCCGGGTATTTCCCAAAATAGGGGTACCCTTTTGTACCAAATAGGAGCAGGATCCCCTTAAATCCGAAAACCCCCATTGAAATACATAGATGAAGAAAAGGATTAAACCTGAATCCGAAGTCCCCTGCGATCGACGCCCAGATCTGAGCAGCTGTCCGCTGCAGCTTGCAGAAGAGCCGGGTGCCTCGTGAAGGTTTAAGGATGCATTTCTTCTTCTTACTCGCATGATTCTTATTATTGTTATTCTTGTTATATTATTAGTATCATTGTTATCATTAAATCATTATTATCATGATTATCATTATTAGCATTATTATCAGTATTATCATTATTATCATTATTATTAATATTCTTATTCTCTATATGTATATATATATATATAGTGCTTTGTTTCTTTGGGGGGGAGGTTAGGGTTTCGGGGTTCTCTTTGTGAGTGTGTTGATATACTTGTAGGTGGTTTGCATGCTACGTGCAAGCGGTACTCGAATCAGGAATACTGCTTTCGGAGTCTACCATACGTGCCTATGTGTTGTTTGTTTTTGTTGGGGGGAGGGGGGTTGGTTCAGGGTTTAGGGCCTAGGGTTCAGGGTTGAGGCTTTGAGGGCCCTGAGAAGGTGTCTTGTGGAATTCCTACTTCGTGGAGAGTAGGATGGGGTGGAGCGCCCTCCGGACCCCCCTAAACCCCTTTGCTTGGTGGTTTTTGGTAGGGACGTAGAGATTTAGGGTTTAGGGTTTAGGGATGTAATTAGGTGACCTTCTGAACCCGTTTAAAGTACATAGGGAGAGAGGGTGGCAAGATCCCCAATTACCTACTACGGAACGAGGAAGCTCGTCTCTCTCTGACTTCACCCTACTAGGCCTTGGAGGAACCCTAAATGTCACACTAAACACTACACCCTACACCCCAAACGCCAAACCCTACACCCCAAACCCTAAACCCTAAATCCTTGCTTGTTTCATGTGGTCTCCTCAGCCAGGCACAGAAACTGCAGCCGGGCGCAGGCCCAGAGCAGACCTGGACAGGGCAGCGTTTGGGGCTTTGGGGGTGGGCGGGGGGGGGGGGGGGGGGGGCTCAAGAGCTTCTGGGGGGTTAGGGCTTAGGGCCTTAGGGTTTTGGTAGGGTTTTGGGTTTAGGGTCTGGGGTTTTGGGTTTTGAAACTTGAGGATTGAGGGCGAAGGGTTGAGGGTTTTGGGGCTTAGGGGCATGGGGGCCTGGGAGGTTTAGGATTGGTAGGACAGATACACGTGCGCGGCTGCTGGTTTGAGAGGCGTCGTATAAAGTTGGTCTTTTCAGACTCGTAGGATGTGTGGATTGGTCCAAGTGGGGCTTAGGCAGATGTAAGGTCGGCGCCGACAAGGTCCAAACACAAACCTGAAGTCGTGACGATTCAAGTTCCGACATTTCAAATGCATACTGCGACACGTACCATACTCCCCGACTCCAGGGTTTAAGGTTACTCCCCTAAACCCCAGTCGCCGAGCCCCAACGTGTCTTTTCCAAAAGGCGCCGCTGCGGGAAAGTCGTGTCGGGCCGCTCAAAACCGATGCGTGCTGCTGGCCATAAAACTTGTGGGGCTTGCGGTGCGGATGCTCCCTGGGTGACCCTTTCGGCGGCCCCCTCCTTTCGACGGCCGCCTCATGTCGGCGGCCCCTCCTTTCGAAGGATCTAGTGCGACCTGGTAAGTGTCAGGGCCCTGCACCCATGGAAGCCTAGAAATCTCGTGCACCCGCGCGGGCGCAAAAGGCTCAGTAACCGGGCGCAGGCTGCACGATACCGAACTTGACACCCTGGTCGTCCTCACATTCGCTCATGATGCCTTCTGGAGCTTCGAAGATCTCTCCTTTGCCCCCTGCTTCCTTGGTAGCCCTGGGGTTTAGGGTGTAGGGTTTAGGGCAGTGACCATGTTACAAGGGTACACTTTTTGGGTGCTGGCTATTTTTTTATAAAGGAACCCAAAAAACCAAAAAGGACAAATGGCTACCACTGGGCTTCCTAGCATCTTTGACAAGGCGGAGGGTGGTCTCGGTCGAGTCCACACGAAACCTCGGCCCAGGAACTTTTGGGCAGACTGGCAGACCGACGCTCCCAGCTTTACCTAGGTGCTTGGGGGGGAGGGGGGATTGGGGGTTAGGGTTTAGGGTTTAGGGTTTAGGGTTTAGGGCTTAGGGCTTAGGGCTTAGGGCTTAGGGTTTAGGGCTTAGGGTTTCGGGCGGTAACCCTGAACTCATCGGAAGTCTCCCCGTATAGGGTTCTTCGGTCAACTACCAAAGAATAGGTCTTGTGTTCTCAAGGTAAACCCTACACACCTCCCTATACCCTTTTCCCTAAACCCTAAACCCCAACCATTAAACCCCAGACCCTAAACCCTCAACCCTACACCCTAAACCCAAATCCGAAACCCAAATCTGCAAGCCGCAGCTCCCTGCCAAGGTACCAGAGGCTGGGGTACTGAGACTTCGCATTGCCCACAGACAAGCCGCCCTGTGCGCCTTTGGTGTTCTGGATTCCCATGCCGCCCTTGGCCTTCGAAACTTAGGGGTTTACTGGGAGGCGCAGGTTTAGGGTTCAGGGTTTAGGGTTTAGGGTTTAGGCTTTAGGCTTTAGAGTCTAGGGATTAGGGCTAAGGGTTTAGGGCACTCAGAACCCAACTATAACTGCACTTGTAAGGGCACCTAAAGTCTCCTAAAGTCGGTTCTAAGTCGACCAAGTACCCATGAGCCTCCAAGTAGGACTTATCTAGGGGTTCTACCTTTGTACTGCTGAGTTTGGGGAACCGTTTAAAGATGCTCTAAGTAGGATACGGGCCATATTCGGAGTCTATTAAGGGAACCTTTAGGGATACAACCTTCGGGGTCGGAGTCTTAATCCCTTGAGTTCGGGGTCGGATTTGTTGAGGTGTTGCCTAAACCCTAAACCCTAAACCCTAAACCCTACACCGTGCTTGTCTGTGGTGGGGTTTTGGGCTATCAGGGGCCTCTCGGGTTTGTACTTGGATAAACCCTAAACCTTACGAAAACATACACCTCGAACCACAGAAGCAGGCTCGAAGTTGAGGGGTCTCTCCTAAACCCTAAACCCTAAACCCTAGACCCTAAACCCTGAACCCTGAACCCTGAACCCCAAACTACCCTTGGCCTTCTTCTCGTCAAAGGTCCATCCCATCACACCGGGGTAGAAGTCCATGGCCTCGGGCCACCAGTCCTAGACTCTAAGACCTAAACCCGAAACCCTAAACCCTAAACCCGAAACCCTACGTCAACCCTAAACCCTAAGGGTAGCTACATGGGCCCTTGATATGGTCCCTTACCTCCTCTAAAAGGTTCTGATGGAAGGGGCATACACGGAGTCACCTTTTAAGGGCCCATATTACGGGACCATGTAACGGCCCTAAGAATGTGGGTGCTCCCTCAACTTCGGGTCGCCTGTTGGGTCCCCAATACAGTATGGCACCCCCCAAAAATAAGGACCCCAAAAAGGGATCCTAGCAGAACTGCCCCCTGCACGGGGATGGGGTCTTTCTCCGTCGGACCACAATTCCCCAAACCCTAAACCCTAAACCCTCAACCCCAAACCCTAAACCCTAAACCCTAAACCCTCAACCCCAAACCCTAAACCCTAAACCCTAAACCCTCAACCCCAAACCCTAAACCCTAAACCCCCAACCCCCCGCCTTCGCTTCCTCGGGTGCCGGGATAGAGAAGAAGAATAAGTCCTGGGTAGCCCAGTAACCCATATTGTAGTAACGGTACCCTTTTTTTGGGTTTAGGGTTTAGGGTCTAGGGTTTGGGGTTTAGGGTTTAGGGCTAGGGTTTAGGGCTACTTTCTTAAGGGAACCTGGAACCAAAAAAAGGGGAAAAAAGGTACCACTGGGCTACCAAGACGCGCTATTGGCAGTGCCCCGTTTGGGGTTCAGCGCGTGCTCGCGGATGTGTGGATCAGCACTGGGCTCCTGGAACCAGATGTATATCCCCTGGTTGTCTTGGCACAGAGCCGCTTTGCCCACGGAGTTCTCAGTCTGCTTGACGATGGCGCCACCATGGGCAACGACCTTCTTCAGGCTCTCCTCGATATCCAGCGTCGTGAAGTACAGCTCATTCACGTCGCCTCCCAGACCACAGGGGGTGTTGGTGCAACCGACATGTCCGCCCTGGGCCCCCCCGAAGTCTTTCCAGCCGAATACCTTGGAGAAGAACGCCTTGCTTTTGTCGATGTCAGGGGCCGGAAGAACGAAATAGAAGAGCTCCATCTTCCCGAAAACCTATCGCAGCAAAGCACGCTGGAGCCTAGGGCAGCGTTCTACACATCCTGTACAGTGCACATGAAGACCGCGAGGCCCTAAACCCCATAAACCCATAAGCCCTAACTGCATAATCCAAGGCACTAGATGGAGGTTGGGATTTAGCGAGTGTAGGGTTGAGGATTTAGGATTTAGTGTCTGGGTCTTTCTGATTTCTTGGGGGGTAAGGCTTAGGGTTGAGGACTTTCGGTTTAGGGCCTAGGGCTTGGGACATAGGGTTCAGGGTTTCTTCGTTCCACTGGGAAAGCTCGCCAAGCTCTAAGCCCTAAGCCCGAAGCCATAAACCCCAAACCCTAAACCCTAAGCCCTAAGCCCTGAGCCCTGAGCCCTGAGCCCTGAGCCCTAAGCCCTAAGCCCTAAGCCCTAAGCCCTAAGCCCTAAGCCCTAAGCCCTAAGCCCTCTGTCAAACCCTTGACCCTCTGTCAGTAAGCATCAGGCACATCAGGTTCTGTGGGCTGAACTCAGCCATGCGCCCCACGGCCTGTCAGTTCCCCATATGCGGGTGTTGTAATGAGCTAGGGTTTAGGGTTTAAGGCTAGGGTTTAGGGTTTAGGGCTAGGGTTTAGGGTTTAGGGCTTCGGGCTTAGGACTTCGTTGGCCTTTGGGGCTTCAGGGTTTCAGGGTTTAGGGGTTTCGGGCTTTAGTATCCACTGAGGAGCTTCCAGCGCCCCTCAGTCCCTTGCAAAGGGGCCAGGACCATGCGGGCCTCCTGCTGTTTCGTCGATCCCTAAGGAACAAAACCCAACCCGAACGACCTGGGCGCAGCTTAGGGTTAAGGGCCAAGGGTTAAGGGTTGAGGGTTAAGGGTTAAGGGTTAAGGGTTAAGGGTTCAGGGTTCAGGGTTCAGGGTTCAGGGTTCAGGGTACAGGGTAAGGTAAAGGGTTAAGGGTCAAGGGTTAAGGGCTAAGGGTTAAGGGTTAATGGTTAAGGGTTCAGGGTTTAGGGTTAGGGGTTTGGGTTTAGGGTTTAGGGTTTAGGGTTTAGGGTTTAGGGTTTAGGGTTTTGGGTTTAGGGTTCAGGGTTTAGGGTTTAAGGTTCAAGGGTTAGGGTTTAGGGTTTTGGGTTTTGGGTCTAGGGTGCCAGAAAGACGATCTCCACGTTCGGGACGAAGCTGAAGTGTTGAGAAGTGGACCAGAGGTTTGAGGTAAGGCGGAAGATACAGGGCAACGGCATGAAAAGTGTAGTTCCGTTCAACCTCAAAACCCCAAACCCCTAAACCTCAACCATAAAGCCCCCCGCAAGCCCAAGACCTACGTCCCGCAAACCCTACACCCTAAGCCCTAGACCCTGAACCCCACCGAACTCCCAAACCACAGCACCCATGTCCCCAAAGCTGGCTAGCTGCGAGGCCATGCCTCGTTGGTCAAGGCCGTCAGCAGCCTGCAAAGCACCCCACGAACCATGAATACAGAAGGCCCCAATCAGTTTGAGGTTTAGGGTTTAGAGGTTAGGGCTTAGGGTTTAGCAATATTGTCCCCTTCTACTGCCTCTTTGATCTTGTCTTTTAAAATGCCATTTCAGTAGCTACGGCCAACGAATTCATCTAAGAAAACCCCTCCAGCCCCGCAGCTTCGGGTTAGGGAGTTAGGACAATGAGGCTCTAGGTCTTCAGGGCCTCCCTAAACCCTAAAAACCCTAAACCCTAAATCGTAGGAGATGATCAGGATTGAGTTCGGGGTGTCCTTCAATCACCTGACTGAGAAGCGCTGGATGGCTCCCACACGCGTTAGCTCTGGGAGTTTGTTGTTTAGGGTTTAGGGCTCCAAAAATGAACCAAGGACAGCTGTGGGCCCATGGCTTGCCGGGGAGAACCTCCTACTCTTCCAAGCGGCACCAAGTGCCAAGCCACCGCGCTTCCGAAGCCCTAAACCCTAATTAAGCCCGAAATCCTAAGCCCTAAGCGTAAACCCATCACCCGAAACCCTAAGCCCGAACTATGAGAGGTTTGCAGGCTTGGCCAAAGCCATGCTGCCCATGGACTTGTGTATCGCAGTGCCCCTAAACCCTAAACCCTAAACCCTAAACCCTAAACCCTAAACCCTAAACCCTAAACCCTAAACCCTAAACCCTAACCCTAAACCCTAAACCCTAAACCCTAAACCCTAAACCCTAAACCCTAAACCCTAAACCCTAAACCCTAAACCCTAAACCCTAAACCCTAAACCCTAAACCCTAAACCCTAAACCCCCTAAACCCTAAACCCTAAACCAATACCTAAACCCCCCCCCCCCCCCCCCCCCCCCCAATCCCCCAATGGCCTCGTGTCCTTGACATCGAGCTTTGCAAAGGCCCAGGCGCAGTTCGCCTCGGGACGCCAGCTCGCACACTGACACACAAGCTCGAGGGCTGGCTTAGGGGTTTAGGGTTTAGGGCGAAGGGCTTAGGGTGAAGGGCTTGGGTGCAGGGTTTAGGGCGAGGGGTTTAGGGTGAAGGGTGTAGGGCTTAGGGTTAAGGGCTTAGGGTTTAGGGTGAAGGGTTTAGGGTGAAGGGTTTAGGGTGAAGGGCTTAGGGTTTAGGGTTAGGGTGAAGGGTTTAGGGCGAAGGGTTTCGGGTTTAGGGTTCAGGGCTTGGGGTTTAGGGTGAAGGGCTTAGGGTTTAGGGTTTAGGGTGAAGGGTTAGGGTGAAGGGTTCAGGGTTTAGGGTTCAGGGCTTAGGGTTAGGGTTCAAGGTTCAGGGTGTAGAGCTTAGGGTTTAGGGTTCAGGGTTTAGGGCTTAGGGTTCAGGGTTTAGGGCTTGTAGGGCTGTTGGAAAAGCCGGTGCATAACCAAATGCACTCAGGCCCAAAACCGACCATGTGGGGTTTAGGATCCCTAAATTAAACACTAAACCCGAAACGCAAAGAAGCTGGGGTTTAGAGTTGGGGAGGCACCCCCAAGATTCACCTCCCAAACCCTACATGGAGTCTCCTAAACCCTGAGCCCTAAACCCTACACCCTGAATCCGTTTCAGGGCTTAGGGCTTAGGAGGGCCGAGTTCGGACAGTCCCTTGTACGTGACACAAAGGGCAGCCCTGTTCATGGTCCTATAGACCAGAAGGCTGAAGCCACTCCCCACCTGTACACGATCACGGGCACTTTTGCAAAGACCTCAACGTTGCAGCTGCCCATTGCAGTCAGGGCGGGAGCGTCTTCGATTTGGCTACCTTCTTGGGCACGTGCAGCAGCTTATACTGCAGCCCTGTGATGAAAACACCCATCATTCCCAGCACAGGGCTGTGGCGCGCATGCAAGGGCGAAACATCGAAACGCTGCATCCTCTTATCAAAAGATAATGGGGAATCATAGTATTCGGCCTTGGGCGGCCCTCACCCGCCGAAAGAATGAGGACAGCCTTAAGGGTTTAGGGTTTAGGGCTTATGGGATTGGCGCTGGAAGACCGGCTCGGGCCCAGGCGATCTGCTGGGCCGTGCACTCCTTCACTCGATCCGCCACCTTGCATAGATAGAGAAGCTTTAGGGTTTAGGGTTTAGGGTGGCCGCGAAAATCGGCTTTGTGGCTGGGGCGTGTGCAGCGTTCATTAGATGGAGGCTAGTGGTTCAATTTTTCATTTTTTCCCTGAACCCTGTAAACCCTATAAACCCTATAACCCCTGTAAACCCTATAAACCCTATAAACCCTATAAACCCTACAAACCGTGCAAACCCTGTAAACCCTATAAATTAGGCTATAAGCCCTATAGACCCTATAAACCCTCATAACCCTAAACCCTACAAACCCTATAAACCTTATAAACCCCAAACACCCTATAAACCCTAAACCCTAAACCCTAAATTTAAACCCTAAACCCTAAACCCTAAACCCGCCTGAGCCTGAAGAAACTCGGAATGCATGACCCCGACCCCAGGCAGCCTAAGGGCTTGGAGCTTGGGGGGACTTCGAGGGCTCAGGGTTCAAAGGGCTCAGGGTTCAGGGTTTAGGGTGTAGGGTTTTAGGGTTTTAGGGTTTAGGGTTTGGGGTTGAGGGTTGAGGGTTGAGGGTTTAGGGTTGAGGGTTGAGGGTGGAGGGTTTGGAGTTTTCAGGGTTAAGCGTTCAGGGCTTGGGGCCGGGGAGGAAGCGGAAGAGGAGGGGTTGAAGGCCAATGTCAGCAACACCCTGTAGGGCTTAGGATTGAGTGCTTTAGGGATTCGGGTTTAGGGTTTAGGCTCTAGGAACCAAGGACCCAGTCACCTATCGCACGTGGAATGGGGAACCCTCGACCCCTAAGCAACCGCCCCCTCACGTCAGCTAGACTGGGACGCCCAGTTCCATGCGGCCTAAACCCGGAACCCAAAAACCCTAGAACCTTACACCCCTCCCAAGCCCTAAACCCTAAACACCCTAAAACTCTAAAACCCTACACACCTCCTGAACCCTAAACCGTAAACCCGAAGCCTAAAGCCCTAAAACTCTAAACCCTAAAACCCTAAAACCCTCAACCCCTAAACCCTGAAACCCTACACTCCAAAACCTCAAGCCCTAAGCCCTAAAATCCTAAATCCTACACCCCGCCTAAACCTAAAACCCAAAACCCTGAAACCCTACACCCCTCCTAAGCCCCCCTCCAAACCAAAAGCCCGAAACGCTAAACCCTACCCCTACAACCCTAAAGCCCTAAACCCTAACACCCTAACACCCTAACACCCTGACACTCTACAACCCCAATACCCTAAACCCTAAACCCTAAACCCTTGCCCAAAAGGACCACAGAGTTCCAGGACGCCTCCGAAGAAATGTGCTGCAGCATTCCTGGGTCCCGCAGCTGCATTTTGGCCTCACTCAGGGTCTAGGGCTTAGGGCTGAGGGCTTAGGCTTAGGGTCTAGGGCTTAGGGCTTAGCGCTTAGGTCTTAGGTCTTAGGGCTTAGGTCTTCGGTCTTAGGGCTTAGGGCTTAGGGGTTAGAGTTTAGGGTGTAGGGTTTAGGGTTTAGGGATGCGGGTTTGCTGGTTTGCGGGTTTGCGGGTTTGAGGGCTTG